GACTGAGGCCGCGGCCGAGGGTTCCTTGACATTCGCACGCCCCCGGCCCCGGCGTAACTCGATCCCTGCGGTGGCCCGGATGCAGCCTCCGAGTTAGGAATCTAGACACGCCTCGTTCTGCCAAACGCCCGCCGTTCGAGTGAAAACGACCGCCGATACCGCGACCCTGAACTTTATCATTGCAATAAAATATGTAAAGACAGCGATGAAACCGCTCGGTCAACTCATGAGAATAATTGATTAGTCAGGAGTTAAAGCTCGCGCTTTTTAAATTGTAAACTATACAACGTGAGCGAGCGTGTCCTGTTTGTGATGAATAACAACTTTCGGCTTCAACAATAGATATCTAAATGGAATTTAATTCGATTGTTCGCTGAGTAACATTGGTCTCTTGTTGCAATATACGGACTGGGCGAGTATGTTCTTGGTTTTTTGTACGTATAGAATTGCTCAATTACTATTCCGCTGCCGCGTCCGTGGGAAACTGTAGCAAAAAACGCGCAAGAAAAACTTTAAGAGTATCAAAGAAAATAAGTACTAGGTATTGAGATGGAATATCTGAGAATCGAGAGTGATAAGTTAGTGCCAACATCAAAGGCAAAGTGCACTAATGCAATTTACGTTGATTATGAAAGCCGAGGATTGCCCGATGCGTAAATAGTTTTTCTATCTGAAGTCATCTAAAGGAAAATTTCAATTATCTTATTTTTTATATTTCTTCTTCAGATAATTCCGCGTACAATCTAAAGTCTATTTAATCTGCGGATACAGATCATGTATGTACATCAAAACTTGTGTCTTATAACAAACAATAGTCTATGAGTATAATAGATTATCATTGGGTGGTTATGTGATCAATAATATTGTCGGCAGACAGTTCCGCCATGCTGTAAGGACGATACAAATCATGCCGACAGTCCGTGCCCGTGCCAATGTGATTACACGACTTATCGTAATGGGATGCCACGATGGTATTATGTTTCCTATAACTAATTCGTAATGTTAAGTTAGTTTTATTTTGATCAACGTCGTTTTACCGTGAACCAGACGAAAATCTAGATTAGTTATAACTTATTGCAGAAGCCCCTAGAAGCTTTCAACTTATCTTACTAATATAAAGATGAAAAAGTCTAGATGGATGGATATTTGTTAGAGTTTGTAGCCTAAGCGGCTGAGAGGATTTAGATGAAATTTGGCATAGATGTAGAGGATAGTCTGGAAGAACACATAGACATATTCATTTTTATTTTTTTCAGTGCCACGCGGACGGAGTCGCGGGCGAAAGCTAGTAATAAAACTTTAATCTACTACGTTTTTTCAATTCAAACATTTACACACTTCGATTTATTTATTCGAATCAAATATATCGCCAATTAAAATAAAATTGAAAAAGCGATAAAACTCGAATCGATTACACAACAACGAAGTCAAAGTAAACCGAAACGTTTATGAATTCGCCGGATTTCCCAGACTCGGGAAAACCTGAGCAGAGTAAACTTCGTTACTACTTCGTACGATGAAAGGTCAATACTAATTAATCATGTATAACCGTGATTTAGAGATGAGTTACACGAAAATAAAACCTTTTTCGTGTGTAGTAGACTAAAAAGAAGCTGATAGAGATAACGGATCCTGTCGCTGAAAAAATAGCTAGTAGTTTATGGGATTGTTTAACATTTGTCACCCGTTTCGACTGAAAAGTCGCATATTCTATGTAACTATGATATCTTATACATCGTTATCCTTTCTGTTCGCTATCTTTAACCGTTTTTTTTTAATTCAAAACTTATCTGAAATGCACAGAACCCAAAAGTCCCTCATGACTGGGACGGTCCGCCGTTAAAATCAATATTAATGATATTGTATTTATAAATTCTATTATACTTTTAATTAATATAGCCTTCTGACTGTGAAGCCATTTCATAAGACATAGCTACCAACGTGATGTGAACTCCGATATACTTGTACTTTTTCATATTATACTATCCTCGTGCGGTTTAGTTACTTTTTCTAACCTGTATTATATTTATTTATGTGAAAAATGGCGTTCAATAAAAGTACGAAAAAACAAGAAAGTACACCTGCGATAATCTAAGTGAAATTAAGCGGGTAATCAAGACTGAACGGTTGATAAATTATTTTGACGGAAAACAATTATAGCACTGTAATAAATATTGCATTTAACGCAAGCATTTCTTCTGATATTGCGAAGCTCATAAAGATAGCCGACAGACAACTTAGTACTTAACGTTGTGTTTTTTATTTAAGTACTTACAAACTTAAGTTAAGCAATGACTAAAGCTACATTTTTTAACACATTAAGAAGGGACGAATATATTATTTTACAGTTGCGGTAAAAACACAATGGTAGAGTCTAAAAAACTTACATGTCAAAGTCCTGTTATATTTCCTTCACCTTGCTAGGGTTGGCCCCGGCCACAATTATCGTAACGTTAACATACGAGTATATGCGTCCACCTCCGGATAAACAAGGTCGTTCAACTCACGTAACAAATAATTACAGACGGTTAAAGTTCAAAACAATAGCAGTATAATTTTATTGACAGCGCATAACAGATTAAAAATCATATAGTTCAATATGTGATTGTTTTTTATTTGAGTTTCGTCGTGTCTGCAAACGGATTTTTATCTTTGAATTTGTTTTAAACACTTTTAAATGAGAAAAAATGTACTTAATCTATGCAACTAAGATCAACCTAACACTAATTAATAATTAGGTAAAAATTAAATAAATGTAATCTTCAAAAACTCAACACTAAACACTTTAGAGAACCCGCAGATTATAGACTATATCGGTCGATAGTTTGATCGGAGCGGGCTGAAGCCAAAATTAAAAAAAAAATGTGCGAACCTCCATCCAAGTTTATAATGTGCCAGTACACAACTAGTAAAGACTATTGCTACTGTTATAAATGTTCAATTACAAGTATGAGGTCAGTTACAAGCTACATGTAGACACTAGACGCATTTTCTCTCGTGGGTCACAAATTAAGTCGACGACCTCGTATTTTCTTAGGTCATTGTAGATTTAAAGTTATGTATGAAGCAAACTTTTATGTTAATCAAATGTAACCTAACCTAAATATAAAAGAGAGAAAGATTATAATTATAATGTTACGAGCTGTTGCCCGCGACTTCGTCCGCGTGGTATTCGAAAACATATAAACTATGTAAATTACAAAAAGCTACGTATCCCTCGGGAACTGGACATTTCTCGGGGACGAAGCTTATCCCATGTGTACTCCAGACTTTGTTTTATATCTGTGCCAAATTTCAATAAGATATGTTGAACCGTTGCAGAATGATCGAGTAAACATTAAAAACTAAATTAATGAATTCCACAGGAACCGTAACTATCCCCGGGATAAAAAGTTTTTCCAGACTATGCTCTAAACCTGTGCCAAATTTCATGGAGATCCGTTTAGGCTACAAACG